GGCTGTATTACTAGTGGCCTATCACTTATTGTATTATAAATTTGCATTTTTTTAAGTACAGTATGCAATCCCAGTGGGTAGGTAATTTGAGTTTCATAAATTGTCAACATGGTACACCAAGTGGTTTACAATTGCCATTTTGTTAAGCACGTTCTTTTCTGGTCGCAGTTTGTAGTGGAGAGTCGTTCTTCTTGTGAGTGACGCCGACATTAGCAGCTTAGTTTACAGTAACATTTTTTTCATATTCTTGTTTTTAAAAAAGGCTTAAATGCAAGAATTGTTTCAAATTATTATTAATCGAATAAAATTCCATCGTTAACTAATTAAATTTGTACAACATTACTAACGACAAGTATAATAAACCTATACTTATAAAAAAAGGCCGTAAAATAAATGCGGCCAAAAAAGTGACCTTTAGAGATGTTATTTTTCATGGCAGTCTCCTAAAAAGTATTTTTTTTTTAATTTTCATAGTTTTTCCAAGAAAAAAATGTATTGGGTTTGACCGAGATTCGATCGTGCGTCACGAAACACAAATTGCTTAATTTTGAGTTATTTGACGTCCTGTTTGAAGGTGTTATAAACGAAATCCTTGTAGATAACACTTCCTGATGGACCTGCCACTCACTTCATAAAATTTCAGCCGCAAGTACTATTGTACCACCTAGCCATAAAATTTCAGCCGGAAGTACTATTGTACCACCTAGCGGCCGCTACATTTAATATTAGTTTTTTTAATTTGTTCATGTTTGTTGAAATTTATAAGCATGTATTGTTAACTTTTCAATTTAATAAAATATATTTTCTGTATATATATCTTTGATTTCATATCCCTAATATATTTTAAGTTAAATACTAACAAATATAAATTACTAGATTCAAAATCATCAACTAACAGATGAAAACAAATTTTAACATTTACAAATAATATGTTTAATAATAACATAAAACATTTGATAACTAAAATAAAAAGATGTCTTGGAAATCGAATAGTATTTTATAAAACAATTAAAGTATAATATTAAACATACACAAGGTTTCTTAAACTATACAGTTCTTAACTGTTAACAAACAAATTTTAACATTTACAATTAATATTTTTAATAATAAAATGTAAGATTTGATAACTAAGATACAAAGATGTCTTGAAAATATAGAATACTGCTTTATTAAATAATAAAATATAATACAAAACATAGGTTTATTAACTGTTAACAATCACATTTTAACATTTACAAATAACGTTTAATAGTAAAAGTTAACATTTAATAACTATGATACAAGTGTTGTATTGAACAATTAAAATATAACGTTAAAACATATATTTGTTAACATTTAACATATTTGATTTATGATAATAAATCTATTTTAATTTTAAACAAGTTAATAGGTTTAATATTAATATATCGGTGTTTATTTTTAACTGATGAGCTTTTAACTTATGACGTGGTTATAGTGAACATGCGTAAGTTCGGCCATATCCAAACCTACCATATGTTAAATAATAATAAGGTTTCTTAACATTAAACAAACGTTTCTCTCAGTGCATGTATCTTTGGTTTAAATAAAAACAACTAGTTGATATAATGAGCAATAAAATCCTCGGCATATATTTTGACACACAATTTAGATGAAACTGCCAAATATAATAATATAATACATCAAATATTTTTAATAACTGCTTATTAGGGCTTATTCTATTCTAGTTTAACATATGAAATTTGAACTTGGGGGAAATGCCAGATTTACTTCACTACTAAAAATTTTTCTTGTCACAAAAATCAGCAGTTCAGGTAATTTGTAACGAACCATGTGAATTACTATTTTAATAATTTAGCATAATTATCCCGTTTCCACAAAAAATAATATTTGAAAATCAATTTGAAAAATTTCATATGTCACTCAGACAACCATAAATACGATACCAGAGGGCAAAATCAGCTAATTCAAATAAGAACTATAATAAATAAGTCTTGAACAATAGATATTTCCTTCTATATTGCACTTCTATCCAAAATCCGTAATTTACCAGCAATTTCAAAATATATGTATTACCGGACATTAAGATAAGATTATTTTGTAAGAGTGAAACATGTCCCCTAATATTTTTTTTTATTACTATTAACACCGTTTATGATCTCTTATAATCCTATTTTCTTTTAAATATGTTTACGTATATAAAATATAAAATAAGTGTATTTTACCAGTATTCTATATGGATGTAACTAAGTTTACCAGTACTGACTCCTATGTTGTATTGCCTAAGAAAACTGCTATTTTGTCAAAGAGGTACAATATTGCTTAAGAGGACTGCCATATTGCCTGTGATTGCTGTCTATACTGCCTAAGGGGGCTGTCTATATTGCTTATATATTACATAAAAAATTTTTCTTATTTCTTTTATCTTTTGTGTTTTTTATCTTTTTGTTTGCTTACGTTTTCTTCATCCCTTACTATGACCAACATTTGATGCTGTATCAATGTAAATGAACAGTTTTAATTTGTATCAAATATATTGCGTAGACTGCATTAAATTAAAAACTAAACATATAAATAAAAATAAATTTAAATATAAGAATAATATAATATAAGTTTAACTAAAAAAGAAAACACAAAAAAATAGAAATAACAATTGCCTTGGACATGCAACATTCGTTATTGCAATTAAACTTTCAATATTGTTAATATTTTAGAATTTAATTATTGGTTCTGCATATGAAACCAAAAAGTCTATGGCACGTTATAGAATTCTGCTACTGTTTAATATGGTCTTTCTAGAAGAAAAGCCTTAGTTAATCTTAACATATATGTTTATAGATTTTAACTGTATTGGAAGGTCATTATACAATTTTTTTTTGGCATTGCAGGTAATAGAATTTTTTATTAGGTCGGAGATGGGAATTGTTAAATAAACATCAGTATCTAAATTTCTTGTAGGATTTCTACGAGTTTTCTACCCAAAAGGAAAGAATCATTTTATTTCCTTGCTTAGAGGTTAAAAATTGAATTTTCTAGTCGTAAAAAAAAGAATGGTTAAAAAGCCTTATGGCCAACATTACAAAAAAATGTAGTTAAAAATTTAATTGAAAGATTAAAATCATTAAAACTAAATATTCTTTCTTGTACTGCATACATTAAACATTTCGGTTTAATTCAAAATTCCACATCTTAACATTTATTTTAGGCCCCTTAGATGCTAATTATCTTTAACAAGAAGCGGTCTGGCTCTACACCTCCATTTCATAAAGCTTTTACGAAACATCTTCAGAGTCATAATTCATTTAGCAGCATTAATCTAGTCTGAGCTTTGAGAAAATCACTAATTACTTGTATACCGCTGAAATGCCACAACAAAAAGACCTTAAAGCCTTGAGTTGAGCTGTCAAAATGTGGGTAATAATTTACTGGATTATAGAGCTGGATTTTTTAAAAAAATTTCTCACATTGGTAAATTTAAAATAATATGTATTAATATTATTTTTTGTTATTATTTGATATGAGCTGAGAAGCCCTATAAAGCTCATATTATTTAAAATTTTTTAAAAAATAGATATTTTTTTTTCAAAATTCTTCTACTGAAATAAAATATTTGATGTCGGTATTAAAGATGAAATAAATTATCAATGTTTTATACTTTAGTGTTGTGATGTCAACTAGGTATATTGTGCACTTGTAACTTCAAATTTTAACCTCACGACTACGTCTTGATAATGGAAATAAACATTTCTGTAATCTTGACGATGATCAAAGAGTTTTACTAAAAATTTTGGCCAAAAAAAGTTTTTTTTACTGTATTCCCAAGAAATACAATTTTTCTCCCTAATATATACTAAAAATGTTACTTAATTTTATTACTAAATTTATTATAACAAATGACAAATTGTAACATTTGTCGTAAACATACTCGACTTCGTTATCAGAATTAATTCTTTTTTATTTTATTCTTTTTATTTCAGTTACCTTTTTTTACTTTCATTATTGTCTAATATGTATTGTTCTTCTAAGAAAGTATTAATCTGTTTTAATATTCCTTTTTAATCGTTTAACTTTTATAATTTCGTGATTTATAATTAAATTTCCAATTTGATAGTTCTAAAAAATTATTTTACCTTATTTTCCCCTATTTATTTATTATCATGAACTTCTCTTTTAAAAAATTTGTCTTTATACAGATAATGACCTGCCTTAACTGCTGATAAACTAGTGGTTTTGTTTATGGTTTCGACAAATACGTAAAATGGTCCGATGTTAGTGGAAGCATTTATTATCTAAATAAAATAACTTTTCTTCGCCGTTAGGCTTATCGCCCCCGTCCGATGTATCTCTCATTAAAATTAAAGAAATGTTTAATCTTACAAATACCAGATTTCTATTTTTTTTATAAAAAAATTGATTTATTTTATCAAATCCCTGTACAAATAACCGTCAAAATGCTAAGACCAACTATTTGAGTACTTTCTAATATCTCCATTATCTTTATTATATTCAGTATCTCCAGTATATTTATTATCTTCAGTATCTTTAGTGTATCTCTAATAACTACAGTACCTCCAGTATCTTTATTATATCCAGTATCTGCAGAATCTCCAGTATCTGTTGTATCTGCCGTATCTCCAGTAACTTGAGTTTTACTAGTATCTCTAGTATCTCTAGTATCTCTAGTATCTCTAGTATCTCTAGTATCTCTAGTATCTCTAGTATCTCTAGTATCTCTAGTATCTCTAGTATCTCTTGTATCTCTAGTATCTCTAGTATCTCTAGTATCTCTAGTATCTCTAGTATCTCTAGTATCTCTAGTATCTCTAGTATCTCTAGTATCTCTAGTATCTCTAGTATCTCTAGTATCTCTAGTATCTCTAGTATCTCTAGTATCTCTTGTATCTCTAGTATCTCTAGTATCTCTAGTATCTCTAGTATCTCTAGTATCTCTAGTATCTCTAGTATCTCTAGTATCTCTAGTATCTCTAGTATCTCTAGTATCTCTAGTATCTCTAGTATCTCTAGTATCTCCTAGTATCTCTAGTATCTCTAGTATCTCTAGTATCTCTAGTATCTCTAGTATCTCTAGTATCTCTAGCATCTCTAGTATCTCTAGTGTTTTTAGTATCTCTAGTATCTCTAGTATCTCTAGTATCTCTAGTATCTCTAGTATCTCTTGTATCTCTAGTATCTCTATTATCTCTAGTATCTCTAGTATCTCTAGTATCTCTAGTATCTCTAGTATTTCTAGTATCTCTAGTATCTCTAGTATTTCTAGTATCTCGAGTATCTCGAAAATCTCTAGTATCTCTAGTGTCTCTAGTATCTCTAGTATCTCTAGTATCTCTAGTATCTCTAGTATCACCAGTATCTCTAGTATCTCTAGTATCTCTAGTATCTCTAGTATCTCTAGTATCTCTAGTATCTCTAGTATCTCTAGTATCTCTAGTATCTCTAGTATCTCTAGTATCTCTAGTATCTCTAGTATCTCTAGTATCTCTAGTATCTCTAGTATCTCTAGTATCTCTAGTATCTCTAGTATCTCTAGTATCTCTAGTATCTCTAGTATATCTAGTATCTCTAGTATCTCTAGTATCTCTAGTATCTCTAGTATCTTTAGTATCTTTAGTATCTCTAGTATCTCTAGTATCTCTAATATCTCTAGTATCTCTAGTATCTCTAGTATCTCTAGCATCTCTAGTATCTCTAGTATCTCTAGTATCTCTAGTATCTCTAGTATCTCTAGTATCTCTAGTATCTCTAGTATCTCTAGTATCTCTAGTATCTCTAGTATCTCTAGTATCTCTAGTATCTCTAGTATCTCTAGTATCTCTAGTATCTCTAGTATCTCTAGTATTTCCAGTATTTCCAGTATCTCCAGTATCTCCAGTATCTCCAGTATCTCCAGTATCTCCAGTATCTCCAGTATCTCCAGTATCTCCAGTATCTCCAGTATCTCTGGTATATCCGGTATCTTCGGTATCTCTAGTACCTTTAGTATCTCCAGTACCTCCATTATCTTCAGTATTTCCAGTATATTCAGTTACTGAAATTACTTCGGTATCTCCAGTAACTCCAGTATCTTTAGTATATCCAGTATCTGTAGAATCTCCAGTACCTCCAGTATCTGCTGTATCTGCTGTATTTGCTGTATCTGCTGTATCTGCTGTATCTGCTGTATCTGCTGTATCTGCTGTATCTGCTGTATCTGCTGTATCTGCTGTATCTGCTGTATCTTCTGTATTCCCAGTATCTTTAGTATTTTGAATATCTTTAGTATCTTTGGTATCTTTGGTATCTCTAGTATCTCCAGTATCTCCAGTATCTCCAGTATCTCCAGTATCTCCAGTATCTCCAGTATCTCCAGTATCTCCAGTATCTCCAGTATCTCCAGTATCTCCAGTATCTCCAGTATCTCCAGTATCTCCAGTATCTCCAGTATCTCCAGTATCTCCAGTATCTCCAGTATCTCTGGTATCTCCGGTATCTTCGGTATCTCTAGTACCTTTAGTATCTCCAGTACCTCCATTATCTTCAGTATTTCCAGTATATTCAGTTACTGAAATTACTTCGGTATCTCCAGTAACTCCAGTATCTTTAGTATATCCAGTATCTGTAGAATCTCCAGTACCTCCAGTATCTGCTGTATCTGCTGTATTTGCTGTATCTGCTGTATTTGCTGTATCTGCTGTATCTGCTGTATCTGCTGTATCTGCTGTATCTGCTGTATCTGCTGTATCTGCTGTATCTGCTGTATCTTCTGTATCTTCTGTATTTCCAGTATCTTTAGTATTTTGAATATCTTTAGTATCTTTGGTATCTCTAGTATCTCCAGTATCTCCAGTATCTCCAGTATCTCCAGTATCTCCAGTATCTCCAGTATCTCCAGTATCTCCAGTATCTCCAGTATCTCCAGTATCTCCAGTATCTCTAGTATCTCCAGTATCTCCAGTATCTCCAGTATCTCCAGTATCTCCAGTATCTCCAGTATCTCCAGTATCTCCAGTATCTCCAGTATCTCCAGTATCTCCAGTATCTCCAGTATCTCCAGTATCTCCAGTATCTCCAGTATCTCCAGTATCTCCAGTATCTCCAGTATCTCCAGTATCTCCAGTATCTCCAGTATCTCCAGTATCTCCAGTATCACCAGTATCTTCAGTATCTCCAGTATCTCCAGTATCTTCAGTATCTAAAGTATCTTTAGTATCTCCGGTATCTCCAGTATCTCCAGTATTTCGAGTATCTTCAGTATTTATAGTATCTCCAGTATCTTTAGTATATCCAGTATCTTCAGTATCTCCAGTACCTCCAGTATCTTTAGCATTAACAGAATTTCTACTATCTCCAGTATCTTCAGTATGTCCAGTATCTCCAGTATCTCCAGTATCTCCAGTATCTCCAGTATCTCCAGTATCTCCAGTATCTCCAGTATCTCCAGTATCTCCAGTATCTCCAGTATCTCCAGTATCTCCAGTATCTCCAGTATCTCCAGTATCTCCAGTATCTCCAGTATCTCCAGTATCTCCAGTATCTCCAGTATCTCCAGTATCTCCAGTATCTCCAGTATCTCCAGTATCTCCAGTATCTCCAGTATCTCCAGTATCTCCAGTATCTCCAGTATCTCCAGTATCTCCAGTATCTCCAGTATCTCCAGTATCTCCAGTATCTCCAGTATCTCCAGTATCTCCAGTATCTCCAGTATCTCCAGTATCTCCAGTATCTCCAGTATCTCCAGTATCTCCAGTATCTCCAGTATCTCCAGTATCTCCGGGTATCTCCGGTATCTCCGGTATCTCCAGTATCTCCAGTATCTCCAGTATCTCCAGTATCTCCAGTATCTCCAGTATCTCCAGTATCTCCAGTATCTCCAGTATCTCCAGTATCTCCAGTATTTCCAGTATCTCCAGTATCTCCAGTATCTCCAGTATCTCCAGTATCTCCAGTATCTCCAGTATCTCCAGTATCTCCAGTATCTCCAGTATCTCCAGTATCTCCAGTATCTCCAGTATCTTGAGTATCTCCAGTTTCTCCAGTATCTTGTTAATGAATATTTCTCCAATTTTTGTCTCCAAGTTTAAGATATTGTTCGTGGTGCATCTGTTTTTTCTGAAGCCACATTGCTTGGGTGCGAGAAGGCTTTCTTTTTCTAAGAACCACATTATTTTCTGTTCAGAATATTTTTTTTACACATATTTGATGTAAAGGCTATTGAGCGATATGAATTTGGGTGGGTTCTAGGTTGGTTCGATTTATTTATTGGGGTAATGTATGCATAAAACCAGATGGATGAGAATGTGTGTAGGTAAAAGTTGCGGAAATACATATACATATTTTTGAGATACAGGTTTGAAAATTGGGGAAGTTCTATTTTTTAGAGGGGAAAATAAGATTATGTTATTAGATTTAAATTATCTCGTAGATGTCGCCACATACGCCATATTGAAGAGAAGAAAACAGCTTAAAAATGTTTGTCCCTCATTAATTAACAATTTACGTATTAAATTTAGAAAGGCTTATCATTTTTGTATAAAAAAGTTATACTTCTTTGATCTTTAAAATATTAACCATTTTCGATTTATTTAAAAGTTTGTAATTCACCACCTGGTCGCCGAGCCATGGGAACCACAAAATGTAATATTCCCCTAATTGAAATCAATTCATAAAAAACGTTTAAATGATAATATCGTATTCTCATATCTCTATGTAAGTTAAAAATAGTATACAGGGTGTTTTAAAACATTGGTCGTTCCTATAATTAATTTTATTTTAAAATAGTTTGTATTTATTTTATGAAAATATTAGATTGTAATGAAACAAAAATTAGGAAACAATAATACAAAATTATTTGTTTATTTTAACGAAACGTATGCTTCTTAACAATTAATAATAACGGTAACAAATCGTATTTAAATCCAAAGTATTTGCTGGATAGGTACCTAAAATTTATTGTGTTAAAGTACAAGATTGACATGAAATTTTGACAGCAGCATAATGTTGAGTAAAAATCTTTCTAAAACAATTTGTTTGTTGTAATCGAATTAAATTACGGGTTTTAAGCTTACATTAAATTGTAATTAGATGAAACAAAATGGATTCTATGTATTTTGAGGTGATCTTTTCGAAAAAAGGCAAAACAAAATGTAGCAGTTTTTCGAAAGTGCCGAAATTTTGGATTTTGTCAATTTTTCAATTTTACGCAGGTGCATGTCGGAAATAAATCAATATTTTTAAAACGCAGTTAACGACATTTGAAAGCTTTTTATGTCTCTTGAGAAATTCTATATAACATTGTTAAAAATTAAGATATTTGAAAAAACAAAAATGAGTTTTGAACTTAAGGGATGTGACTAGTGATTCCCAGAAGGGAGCAAGAGAAATCCTAAAATTGGGCATATGGCGGAAGGGCAAAATGCACCGCGGTCCTAATTTCATTGTTTGCCTATAACGGCCAAACTATTTAAATTTTTTTAATGCCACTTACAAAGCTTACTCTTAAATGTGAAATCTTATGTATGTGTGAATTTCACCGACGTCGGACCATAATTGGCTAAGATATCAAACAATTTGATAATTTTTTTTTTTCCTGAAAAAAAATAATTTTTTTTTCGAAAGTTTGAAGTGGCACAAAAATGCCAAAAATGCACCCAATGGCTCAAAACTTGTTTTTTGAGTACTCTATTGTGTCTAGAATACGATTACATTACGGAAAATTCTGCAAATATATTTTATCTAATTTTTTGACCACTGTTCATTGAGTGACGATCAAAAAACACGGTTTTTGAGAAAAGTTTCCTACAATTGACAATTTTTAGTTTTTTTGTCTGAAAATTAAGTAAATCCAAATTTCATGTCTTCTAAATGTGTATACAAAGTTTAAAGTGTGCATGTTTCTTCTAAGTTGTAGAATTCTCCCGACAAAAGTCTCATTACACGCGCTCCGCGGGATCCAAAACTCGTGTATACACTACATTACTGTAATTTGATTTTTTTGCGTTTTCCAGTTTTAAATTTCTTACATATCTAAACTTATTAGGCTTAAAATTTATTAAATTGTATTTTACTGACTTGTTATAAGACGTTTCTTGAGTTTTGTGCAAAATATAGAGTTGGAATTTACACTCAGGCTTGGGATTAATTTCCTAACATTTTTAAAGTATACCTATTTGTGTATTTTTTTGTGCTTTTTTCGATGGCGAAATTAGTTTTTTCAAATATATTTTTTTTGTTAGATGTTTTCGGAAAACCCAGAAAAAATCATATGGGAAAAAAATTAAAAAAAAAACTACGCCTCTGGTTTCCTGCGAATTCCCGAAAAATTATGTCAGATTTCGCCGCGGGACTTATTTTGTTTGAGAGCCAATAAAAAAATACGCAACTTCACTCGTGGGCACATATGTCCAACATTTATAATTTCGCCACAAATTCATCGCAAATTTTATGTCCATGGTTCTGATCAAAAAAACGAAAAAAACGACTTTTTGGTAAAAGCACTTCTGGCGGCGAGAAATTCGCCATTAAAGCTACCTGTGCAATGAATTTCCGAACTATTTTTGCCTCCTCTTTCGAATGGTGCATTTATTTTCACTATCGGAATGATACTGGCCCAGATAATTAGCATTTTTACAATGGAAAATTCTGGAAAACCCGGTTTTTCCTAATTTAAAAAAAATTGAAAAACTGCTACATCTTTTTTTTTTCTTTTTTTCGGAAAGATCACATCAAAATACACAAGGTCCTTTTTGTTTCATCCAATTACAAATTAATGTAAGCTCGAAGGGGCTTTTTTTCGTTATTTAATTGGACTATTGTTTTTGTTATCGAATGATTCGAGTTAATTTGATACATTAGTGAAAATGCCGAGACATAATCTCTATTCAAATGAGGAAGTGAGAGATATAATTTGCTGTTACGCAAGATAAAATTTTTCTGGACATTCAGCGTCTAGAAAATAACGCGAATTATACCCAAACCGAAGGCAACCAAACCACAAGATATTTCAAAATATTTATAACCGATTGGGTGAAACAGGCTCGTTTTGCCCAAAATAGCATACAGGGCTTCCCAAAATTATTAACTTACAGCAGGAAGATGAAATTTTGATGAGTAGCAGAAAATCGTGAAGTAAGCACTCGTCGATTATCTGCAACTACCGGAATAAACCAATAATCCGTGATTAGAATTTTGCACAAGGACAATTTGTACCCATATCATTTTATACCTGTGCAAAAATTGCTTCAAAGAGATTATTCTGCAAGAGTAAAATTTTATCAGTGGCTTTTTTTTTTATTTATTAACGAAATTGTTGTGCCTAGAAAACTAAAAACCCTCATGTAAATAAAGAAAGACATTTCCAGTAAGTATTTAAAATAAATGTCTGGTGCGGTTTATTAGGATATACATTGCTGGGTCCATTTAAGTTACCTTCCAATTTAAATGCCAAGTCATATTTAAATTTTTTACCCAAGGACTTAAACGATATTTTGGATGATCTTTCATTACAATCAAGAAGAAAAATGTGTTTCATGCAGGATAATGCACCTCTACATTTTTCACTGATTGTACGTGATTACCTGAATCAAACTTTCCCTCACCGTTGGATTGATCGTGGTAGTGAATTTCAATGGCCACCTCGCAGCCCCGACTTTAATCCACTGAATTTTTATGTGTGTGGTTACATGAAAGCTATTGTTTATTCTTAATCTATAAATTTCAGAGACGAGTTATGGAATAGAATTGTATATGCGGCTGATTCAATTATAAATAATAACGCCACATTTTTAAGATCAGACGATCCTTTAATTAACGGTATAGAGGTGTATAAGAGTTGGTGGTGGCCATGTTGAAACTCTTTTGTAGTATTTAGTATTTTAAGTTGAATCTTAACAATATCTAAAGATTATGTGGGATATATGTTTTAGGTAAATTCGTTTTAGTTAAGTTTCTTGTTCAAGTGTTTTATAATTTTGTCTTTATTTTTAGGTTAAATTACCAGAATTTGTTATCTTTATTATTGGTTTGTTAAGCAGCATACGTTTCGTTAAAATAAACAAATAATTTAGTATTATTGTTTTCAAATTTTTGTTCCATTACAATCTAATATTTTCATGAAATAAATACAAACTAGGTATCTCAAAATAAAAATAATTTTAGGAACGACCAACGTTTTAAAACACCCTGTATACTATTTGTGGCTTACGTAGAGATGTAAAAATACGATATTTATTATTATTTAAACGTTTTTGTGAATTGACTTCAATTAGGGGAATATTACATTTTGTGGTTACCATGTCCCGGCGAAGGTGAATTACAAACTTTCAGATATCTCGAAAACGGTTTATATTTTAAAGATCAAAGAAGTATAACTTTTTTTTTACAAAAATAATAAGCCTTTCTTAATGTAATACGTAAATTGTTAATTAATGAGGGACAAACAATTTTAAGCCGTTTTCTTTTCTTCAATATGACGTATGTGGCGACATCTTTGAGATAACTCAAATCTACTAATTTAATCTTGTTTGCACCTTTAAAAAATAGAACTACCACAATTTTCTCGATCTCGAGACAGGAATGAAACTTCCTACCGAGGTTTGTATACTATTTTATTTACAACCATCATATTTCGATCAAAGTTAATAAATGTCTGTTTTGTTCTGAACATACCTAAAATATTACATTTACCGAGAAATTACCAAGCGCGCGGTTTTCTCAGAATAATCAAGTAGGTAAATATATTGTTACTGTGATTACGGGGTAAACAACTGTCACCAATATACATAAATATCAGATAAAGCCGGATATTAAATTCGCGGTTAATAAATATCAATAAGTAGTTTGTTATATTTTAGATCATTGTTGTTTTTTATTGTTTGCCATTAAATAGGTATTATAAAATTTGTCAAACACTGTGTTATTTTTTTTCTTAATATAAAAAATATTCATCTAGAATAGATGAAATGAGGGCGGGAAGTGAGGGCGGGAAGTCAGGGCGGGAAGTAGAGGTTTGTAATGTGACACTTCTTAACCTTCAATGACGTAAGTAATGACAACATTACATATATGGTTGTAAATAAAAATATTTTTTCTTTCTAACTTTAACAGCCTGTAGATCAGAAAGGAAAGATCTCAGACCCATTGTTGTTAGGTAAAATATTTTTATTTT